GTCCAAATGTGTTGCAATATAGAAACGATGCCTCTAACCACAGGTTGAGAGCTGTCGTTCAAACCACACAACTTTGCGATGCTGTTTGCGAATGTTCGTTGGAACGATGGTTTTGGGAAACACAGACTCGTTGAACTATGCAGATAACGACGGATCTTGCGACCATAGTTGGCTAATGATGCTTTCGGGAAACGCACCCCACCTCAGTTCAGCTCTCGTACAACAGCGTCAGTGCTATCAGATGGTCTCAAAGAACACAATGCAGGAATGGCAGCAAAAACTGTCTTTAAAAAATCCCACAGAAACGCTCATGAGATAATAGGAATAATAAAACAGTACAACCGCGTAAAACAACACAGAACAGTGAAGGGAGGGAACTAAGGGTTAAAATACACAGAGTAATCAACAGAACAACAGGAACTAATGAGTAACTATGGAAACTAATAATTACCAGGAACACACGGAAAACGGGAACATGGAGAACAAAACCAAAACACAACGAAACTAAACAGACTGAGACTGTTTACATGACACCGTTTTCAACTAAAACCACAAAACTTTTTATGCTTTTGGTCATTCGTTTACACGACCGCGGCGTTTCGGGTGCCCGGAAACGCAAACTTTTGAAAACAGGTTTCAAAACGCAATTAGTCTCCGTGTAAATAAGAATACAGGGGTTTGTAGTCCTTTCACGGATCCTTGTGTCCTGACAATGGTGTTGTCGCTACTTGGAAAACTCAAAGGGAAAACTTCTCCTTTTTAAGCATATCGTTGTCATGTAAACCAGACTGATCTCATGAAGTAGCGTGTGTATGACACGCCAATTCGTATTTCCATTTTTGCCGTGCTATTAAGAGGCATAATTGCTTTTCACCGTGTTTATGAACACCGTTGACTTAACGTTATATAAATATATGACTCACTTACCTCAACCCCGTCCCTAAACCTAACCATCACTGGGGTTAATGACATTTGTGACTGGAGATTTGACGTCGTGTACAGACACGCGGAATGACGCGGACGTTAATGGCGTAGACATACACGCAAACACGCGGATACACGCGGATATATCTCAAAATGCGTAGAGATAACACGCCACCCCAGATAGCAAACTGACATTGGATCAACGTGGAAATATGACATCGAAACAACGTTGATCTGACATTGTTTTGCTCATCGAATTAACGTTGGACCAACGCCAGACGCGTCATTCTTTCAAAACTAACGGAAAATCAACTTGAAATCAACGTTGTTTCAACGTTATGAAAGCAAACCAATTTTCGATTTTCATTTAGCTTTGAAGAATGCCGCGTCTGACGTTGGTTCAACGTTAATTCGATGAGCAAAATCAACGTTGTTTCAATGTCATGAGAGACGTCGTTTCCACGTTGATTCAATGTCAGTTTGCTGTCTGGGACTTGACTCGAAAGTGGCGTGTATGTTTACGCAAAAGTCATGATGTCATGTTGCGTAAACGTACCCTTAAACATAATCCTGACAAATAATCCTTTATTATTTTTATTTATTATGTTTAACTGTGCACATCAATATATATGTCTATATATATATGCTATTCATTCATGTGCCCTCGTAATCAAAATAACATCCTTTCTCTCTGGCATGAAGGCGGGGCAACCTGTCACTCACGTGAGATCCACCAATAGCAACCCACCATATCCAATCAATCCCCATGGATCAAGTCCCGTCCAACTTTTCTTTCCTCATTCGAGTAGCGTATCCCTTGATATATGTCGAAACTGAAACATTTCCCTGCTGGTAATATAAATATGTTAATTTATTTCACTTTACATTTGCGATCTTCTCTCAAGGCTATTCATCTCTTTATAGTGTTTTGATGGGCAGATAAAGCTATACATCATCCTCCTGTCATTTTTCGAAGCCAAATATTAATCAGTTTTCCTAGCATGAACTGTGTGACCTAAACTGGTCCAGCTATTATATTTTCTGTGACCTGGACCGATACACACACACACACACACACACAGCTATTCATTTTCAGGGACGTATACGTCCATGTCTGAAGCCGACAGCACATGTTAATGCAACAAAGCGTCAAAATATTATCAGCGTAGTATATCAGCTCAGGAGATCATAAATTAGCTGCACATTCATTTAACCTTGAAGAGACTTTTAAGTGCGTTTGTATGTATGTTACAAACACACACCGCATTTCTAATTGAATTTTTAGCGAGTTTAAGCCAAAAATAATAATTATTCAGTAAAATGAAACTATTGTTTAAGTGACTCAATCCTTGTATGAAAACTGTACATTTGAAATGACACGTCTGATTAACATCTCCAGTGAACCTCTGCGAGCCACAATGACGCAGTTGAACTTCTCCCAGCTGGACCGCGCTGATCCCAGACCACCCCGGACGAACAAAACACGACTTATGCGGCGAACAATACAATATGTATGTATCAAAACTAATAAATAGATACCAAGGCTCAGCCTGGCACGTCAGACACAATGGGGTGTATTAAAATAACTGGCTTGATGTCATTGTCCTCCGAGCAGTGTGGGGTTTATGTGTTTATTCCTGTATGAATGAGAGATCACAGAGCTGTCCTTGTCCCATACAGTGATGAGCCTTTCAGACGCCCGTCCAGCCTCACAATCTGCCCTGCGGCGCACACACTCATCCAGAAACACGGAAAACCAGCTTTCAAAAACACCCATCACGCAAACCCAAAATACAGTTACCTACACAAGTCACGCTTAAAGGGATAGTTCACTCTGAAATTAATTTTTGGTTAATTTAAAAAAAAAATCAATTTTGATATTTTTAGGTCAAACCGTTCTTGTCTGTCACTCATATAATGGAGGTCTATGGTCACCACCTCAAAGAGCATGCACAGAGAAGTCCAAATTAAACATGATTTAATAACTCGTAAATGTAAGTACACATTGATGGCCCAAGACACGAAACGAGCAGTTTGTGTGAGAAAACGAACAGTATTTATATCGTTTTTACCTTTTGTAATCACAGCCACGTCCAAGTGATCTCTCTCGTGTGTACGTCACTCATTGTTTACACACAGATTTCGGAAGTGTTTTCCTTCACTCTGAAGATCTAAACATGTTTAGATAAACAGGAATTCGCAATGGAAGACAATTTCGATATATCAACAGACAACGTTGAATTTTTTTCGCAACCGCGCGAGAGATCACTTCCGGCGCTTTCCAGCGCTTGCGCAGACCGAAAGCGTCCACGCCCTCAGATCACTTGGACGTGGCTGTGGTTACACGAGGTAAAAACAATATGAATACTGTTCGTTTTCTCACACAAACCGCTCGTTTCGTGTCTTAGGCCATCAATGTGTACTTACATTTACGAGTCATTAAATCATGTTTAATTTGGACTTCTCTCTGCATGCTCTTTGAGGTGGTGACCATAGACCTCCATTATGCTGACACACAAGAACGGTTTGACCAAAAAATATCAAAATTCAAAATACTGCGGAAACAAAGACACCTACATCTTGGATGCCCTTGAGGTAAGATAAAACATACCAAAAATTAATTTCAAAGTGAACTATCCCTTTAACAACAATAACTAATATTCCTACAAGAGCGGGTTGTCCAAATAATTTCACTTTTTAGTGATTTTTGGTAGCCGTGTGCACAGATGTAGGCCAGTTCACAAGCACCATAGCACAATATAATTTTAAAAATCGATTTAACTTTAAAGATGTCCACACACCAAGAACGATAACTATAATGATAACTTGTTAGTGTCCACACCAAAGAAAATGACTGTCTGTTTATTTCCAATATATTTTGTTAGATAAAATCACAGAGAATAATCACAATCGGATTTATGATTTTTTTTTTGTTTTTTTGGAAAATCGTATAACCTCATACATTCATCATACTATCTTCTCTCGTCCATTGAGGGATAGGTTATAGATTTTAGGAACGGAGCTTCAACTTTTCTTCATAAAAAAATTACAGTTTCATAAGAATTGTTTGATCACACTCGTTAAGCTGCTTTTTCTCAAGTGATTTTATTGGCATGATTTCTGGATTATGTTGTTTGGTGATTTTGTGAAATTCATATCCTTAGCTAACACTGGAAAATTGATTCTCGTGTGCTTATTTTTTGATTAAGATAAAGACCCATTTCAAACTGCTGATATATATGCAAATGATCACCAAAATGACATATTTAAAAGTTTTTCTCTTCATAAAATTATTCATGCCTTAAAATAACTCGACACCCTTGCCTCATTTATTATGCGCGATTCTATGAATATGCAAATGAGCCCCGCCTCCACTCACTCAGAGATCCACTCGTTGATCTGATTGGTTACAAGGTCGTTTGTGACGTCAGAAACACCAGCGATTTCAAGTGTTTTTGAGACTGTCTTTGTTTCACTGCAGTTTTAAACAGAAAATACTTAACAATGCTGTCGTGTCGACTTATGAACTTACACATGGATTGTCTTGTCTGTGATAAGTGTATGCTATTAAAAACATCACCATAGGGGAACTTTAGCATTTTTATACCACTCAATGCAGCCAAAAAAAGTGTATATATGAGTCAAACCCACTTCAAAAATAACCTTTGACCCCAAATGCAAATTCTTATTTTACATTTTGTTGCCAGTTTTATTTTATATGGTTTCTAATAGATGTATTCCTGTTTTGAATCTATAATATTGATGTATTCCTATTTTGAATCTATAATATTAACTGGTACTTGCTAAATATGCATTCTGTGAATAAAATAAGTATGTAGACCATCACCATCCACAACAGCCTGTCATTTACTTGACCAACTGAACAGCACCATCTACTGGAAAAATACATCACACAAATACAAAGACACACTCAGTGGATGCTTTGCTGGTGGTGTAACAGTGTGAGGAATATGTAGCATTAGGTTCCTAATTTAAAAGTTACCAGACACATGTACTGATACGCCATTGTTTCACTTCTGCATGGCTGCATGAAAACCAATGATAATGTGTTCAAC